TTGGTCTGCTTGTCCTTTCAAGTGGAAATTTCCCTCCTCTGAAGATTCTGGATGCTGTCCAGGATTCCACCTATGGTCTTATGCAATGCAGAGGCTCCAGAAGAAGCCTCCTTCACCGGAAGGGTTGTAGCCCCATTTTAGGTATTCCAATTAGTTATAGGCAGAAGATGGACTTACAAACTTTCTACGGTGATATTTCTGGCTATTCCTTCCTCTCCCCCTCAAGCATCTATATCATAATTGTATGCCAGGGAATTCAAGATTCATATGACAGCCAAGCGTCTTAACATTATTTCCCCCCCTTTGCCCATTCCAACCATGTCTCAATCTGTGTATCCCAGAGCCCTGTTGTTCCAAAGTTGTGCATACATCATTCTTTACCTCTGTCCCACTTAGCCAATGCAAACCTGCCTAGTTGTTCCCCCATCTGCTTTGTTCTTCCATTCCCTTTCCCCTTCTTGTATATTGCCCCCTGCCCAAGCACCCAAACTATGCTGTGTCTATTCCTTACCCTGTGTTCCACCTTCCCCTCCGTCCCTTCACTGCACCACCCCCACATCCCAGTAGCCAGCAAAGAACCTCTCCCCCTTTTGTATGGATTCTTTTACTTAGTCTTTTACAGTAGTGGTCCTATGCAGTATTTCTCCTTTTGTGATTGACTAATTTCACTCAACGTAATGTCCTCAAGGTTCATCCATGTTATGCGGTGGCTTGCAGCCTCCTTGTTATTCTTCAAGGTAGCATAATATTCCATTGTGTGTATGAGCCACAGTTTGTTTATCCATTCTTCAGTTGATGGGCACCTTGGCTGTCTCCATCTTTTTGCTATTGTAAATAGTGCTGCTATGAACATTGGTGTGCATCTATCTACTCGTGTTATGGCTCATATTTCTTGTGGGTAAATATGAAGTAGAGGAATTGCTGGATCATAAGGTATTTCTATTCCCAACCTTCTGAGGAAGCACCATATTGCTTTTCAGAGAGGTTGGACCATTTTGCAATCCCACCAGAAATGCAGAGTGTCCCAGTCTCTCAACATCCCCACAAGCATTTATTGTCCTCTACTTTTTTTTTTTTTTATCTTTGCTGTTGTTGCTGGTGTGAGATGATATCTCATTGTTGTTTTAACTTGCATCTCTCTGATGGCTAGTAATCTTGAACATTTCTTCATATGTTTATTGGCTGCCTGGATCTCCTCCTTGGTGAAGTGTCTGTTCATTTCCTGCATCCATTTTTAAATTGGGTTATTTGTCTTTTTCTTGTATAGGTATTGTAGTTTCCTATATATTTTAGAAATAAGTCCCTTGTCTGATGTGTCAGTGCAAAAGATTTTTTTCCCCATTCTGT